ACCAAGACACTCGAGTATTGGATCATTAGTCCCATCGCAGATGGAGAGGCTCCGGTTCGTTTATAAATGAGTTTTTTTCATATATCTTCAAAGTACAGACATCGATTGGCTACGTTTTTATTACAGTATAAATAAATTATTTCACAAATGGTATAAGAAATTGAAAATTATACTTTATTTTAATATTCAAATCTTTCGCGTGTTAATATAGTGTTAAGTGATTGTCAGAAAGTAATTTCAATTGTATTCTTCTAAAGGATCACGAAGTATTTATTAGAGTGCCTATGTAACCAGCACTGTTTAAATGAAATAAAATTTCGTAAATTGAAATTGTAAAACATCAACATATAAAATTATAACCTTTAATAATTTATAGTTGACTTAAAACGCTAATCGCTATCAGTGAAAGGTATCAAACGGAATACAAGCGTGCTTCTAAGACTTCCAGATAATTTAGTTTATTTTGCTGTAATACCTCTCTTGTATGAATGTACATAACGTGTATTTTGTTTTAGTATTCTACTTAATAATACTGATGTTGCGTGAGAAACATATAACGATAAGAGAAAAAAAAAACTGGTATAGAGTGAGTTGGATTCGAGCGTACATGGTTCTACATAAATTAGTTAAATATGGTTAAATAGGTATTGAATTTTAAAAATCATAGGTTATCTATTAGTTTATAGTTATAGATACACATTTTTTCTTCTTTCACAAATTTAAGCCCAATAGTTTCAGATATCAGAGAGGTAGACGTGAATCATGAAATAATTCATATAGTTTAAAACGGAATGTTTCAAAATCTATTACTTACATTACACGGTGATCCATGGGATCATATACTTTCCCACAGTTACTAAACAGTTTAATTGGTTTAGTAATAATTGAGAAAACAAAAAACGCACCGGCCGCACGACACGTAACGGATCACTAAAAATTCCTATGACGCCATCAGCGTAATTCCGACGTAAAAATTGACAGTGGCATTTTTAATAGAAGTATCCATGAAAATTGTGACAACAGTGGATGTATGACATCGACAAATCGTTGCGTGTAGTGCGGTCGGTACGTGCGTGCCCAGACAGTGGAAGAGCACCTTAAAGGTTCTCTTTTCTTTTTAGGTAGAGATCCCTAAAAATTAATAAATCTGGCGATTCAGTATTATGCATGTGCATAAATCTACAGAATCATGTAACTTTAGTCATTATTTTAATAAGAATTATTTAATAATAATATTATGTATATTTGCGGGTACGGGTAAGTCAGACAAACTTTTTTGAATATTTCCATTTATTTTTTGTTTTCCAATAGTTTACAGAAAACATTTTGACAGTTAGAAAGATTTTTTTATGTTTAAACTATTTACATTTCGTTATCATAACATTATGATGACGAGAGAACAAACTTAAGCAAAACATTTTGTGATAAATACGTAAATCTTATCATCTAGTAACAAAATAGGATATTTAATATCCTTTAAAAATGATAAATGAATTTTTTTACTATTTTTTCATATTTGTTTTAAATAATTGAGATACATTATCAACTTATATTCGATGATCATAGCAGCGTTGGGCGATTTCCAAATCCCTATAATATTTATTATGTTGTCAAGACGTCTATATGTTTATTCTTTTAAGAAAAGATGATGAAAGTACCATATTAAATCAAAATATAATAAATTAACTACGTTGATAAAAGCTTATAAGCTGTATAATATTAGTAATGAGATCGCGAAATAATAAACATGGCAGTCAGTTATTAGAAAAGGAATCAGGTAAGATTTTCTTATTTTGATTCTCAGAAAAAGAAAATCTGCCAATTTGAAATTACCATTACTATCTAAAGTTATACTTCGAGGATTATTCGTATTACGGGGCTACAATAATTTCTTAAAAAAATATTAATTTTGTTTTTATAGAAAGAAATAAATGTTTATTTTATTGCATTATTATCATGTCTTCATTGATGATTAGCAAGAAATTTTGGTTTAAATTACGGTTTGTACATTGATGACATGATTGATGAATTTAGACGAAACTCTAATACGCGAAATTCCAATACGTGTGTCAAGGGTAAAGTATATACACATATTACGTTATAGCTGTAGCAGAAAGCGCAGTCATATACACGCATTTACCATAGAGATCAAAGGTGCTGTATATTCTTTTTATTTCGAACAACGTTGGTACTCTTGGAACAATACTATACCCTTGTTTCCAGTCGCTTATACTTTGTGATACCCCTTTTAGTTCATTAACAGCTATAACGATTATACTTTCTCTTTAATATAGAGAGGCATGCTATGCCGCCAGGCCTTTATACTGACTACAATTTTTTATAACAATATCTTTGCACTAATTGCGGCGTAACTTTGAATTAGTCTCTCGTCAAAAGTTTGATATCTATTGTATATTTTATCTGGAATATTAATATGAGCAAAAAGACATATATGAAACGATTATCCATTATATAAATATGTTTCGTCGCTGATTCAAATCTTAACATACAATTTTACATTTGATAACTAAGAAATAGCACACTGTCAGTATCTTTTTACTGCGAACGCAGGCTCTTCTACCGGATCACTGCCAAATCTCCATATGGCTAGCTTGAGCCTCGAATGAATAAACCATTCAACTGATACTATTTCCAGTGACGCTGAAAACCTGGTAAGTCTGGCGTTTATTCCAAATGTATCTCTGGAATTCATTTCAGCTTGAAATTAAAGTAAGAAATTTTAAACTATTTTCGTGTGGGTCTTCAGGAAAGTAAAATTATTATAACCAAAAACTAACAATATTGTTGCAAATTCAAGTGATATGCCAATATTTTATCGATTATCCTAATGCCTCTTTTTAATAGCTACAGTGACGTCATTTATGTCTCCTAGCTAATTTTCATCTGAATTTTGGAATAAAACTCGCAAATTATTATGAACCGATGGCGTAATTGCTGAAATTTTTTAATTAAGATTTTTTTTTGAGAAATATGAAGTTCATTTATTATATTTACAAAAAATAGTGTACCTATATAACTTACAAACTTAACAACAAAAAATATTTCAAATATTACAGTGGTAATTAAGATTACTCCTTGTCAGTAAGGGTTCAAAATTCACCAAGAAAGTATATTTGTTAAAAATACTTGGCTTGACAACAAGAAAAAATTAGCAGCCCAACGCTGCAATTTAAGACACAAATATGATAACTATATTATACAAAACATATTTACATTTTTTATTTATTTATATACAAAATATTCCTTAATGGACAAATTAACTATTAATACACTATGGATGCGTCAATCTCTTCATTTGTTTGTATAAACTATTGATAAAATGATGGCGGAGTAGGCACGACAAGTTATATTTTACAACTGGTCGTGTCTTAATCATAAATATGTAAGACTAAGCACGCACTTTTAATTTTCTGTCACCTTCTTTTGTGATTTGTATGAAAGCCGCCTTATTATCACCACCGTGACAAAAAGTCACTAGTGCGAGCATAGCCTTACTTTCAATACAAACGACTTACTATAGGGGCTGACGAGTGTATCATTGAACCATTAATAGAGGTATATCAAATTCACCCTTTACTTTATAACTAGGTTTTACGTACGATTTACATATAAAAACTTATATACGCGTTTTTAAATCAGTCTCGAATATATTAACTGCATATAAGATAACAACACAATATGAAGAAATTGAGGCAATAAACATGAGACTTCGAAAGTTTTCGTATTTCTTTGATTATTTATGTCACGCACAAAGACCGGTGCATTAATTGAATAGAAAATCTTAGGTGTCATCCTACAATAGTACCACCTAATAATGCGATTTGGTCATAATATGACTGACCACACTTATAAGTGTGTTAATCAAAACTTTTAGGTCATCGCGGAACAGCCGTGCAACCAGAACTATAGATATCTTTTCAGTATACTAATGATGGCTGTCCACTGGCCCGCATCAGCCATAACGCACGTACGACAGGAAATGAATTTTCTATAATTATAAATTTTGTGAAGCCCTGTATTCATTATTATCACTATCAGCCACACCGAGCCGTAATTACCGCCAGCATATTATAAATAAATAAAAATGCTTTTAAGTTACACGGATTTGTTTGCGGCTTGGGTAAAGTATCTAGTGAACGGCGTTATATTATATACCATTCTCAATGAATAGACTCAGTGCTGTACTTGGTTCATACCAAGCTAAAGAAAATCCGTTACGTGTCGTGACTCGTGCGTACGTAGCGGCCGGTGTGGGCTAGTGGACGTCTACCATTATTGATCACTCATTCTCATTATCGCTCATCGCCAGGATTATCATGCGATTTATTAAGACACCTACACACTATAATTTTTATTGCATGAACAAATTGCATTGTTTGGTCTTTAGTCAATTACAGCACCCCCTTATAGCGGTACTAAACATTTACCAAATGTGGTTCTGACGAGTGATATTTTTTAACTTGTTAAGGACAACAACTCTCATATTAATTGAACAGTATAAAATTGTCATCTATTCATAGTTCAGAATCTTTTAGTATTACCTAATTATCAGTATTATTATTTATTTATTAATATTATCACATTTTAGTGATTATGATATAATGAACATTTAATATACATTTTAATAATTAAACATTAAAAAAATCTCTTTTACATAATTCTTTCATACCGACTTTCATTAGTTTTATAAATATTCAAAACGGTATTAATTAATTACACACTAGTAATTTACATAACTGGATTTACATTTTCTCACAACCGTTTACTGAAAAATAATAAAAAAAAACCAACACAGTTTCGTCCAGTTCATAACGCTGATTACAATTTGGCGAAATAATCTAAGTCGGGGTGGATTCCATACGAATCGTAACGACATTCATTTAGCCTAACTATATAACTAACTCGATTGTATGCTCGGAAAGTGTTAAAAATGTTTGAGCACTGTCTATTTACACATGTTCCTATAGTTGGGTTGTTTGTCAGAGGGGCGTGTCGCGCGGGGTGGTGCGGGGTGCGGGCGCGGGCGCTGGAGCAGGCAGCGGCCGCGGCAGAGTGCGGAGATGCTGTAGAGGTATACCACATCGCCCATCTGTTTGCGCAGCGATCGTTGAACCCCGTGGTAAAGTACAAGAACCGCTGGCGAAACGCGCGGGAGGCGGGATGCTCGATGTAGCATTCTGGAAAATAGCACTCTTATCTACCAGAAACTTTGATAAGCCTTTTGTTAGGATCGACGCAAATCTGACGGCAGATTATCCATCAAGGATGCAAGGCATATTGGCCAGTTCTAATGTTTTGCGACCAATACGCGACGCATCTTCCGATAGATATGCATGGTGATATAAATATTTAGTATGATATAGGATCCTGCTTGTGAGCCCGTGGTATGATCCCAAGTCTTCGTTATCTTAAAATAATAAAAATGCCGTATTGGAAACATTGCAACGACCGTTGAAAATCATATTTGATAATAGAGTAACAGATGGAGAGAAATAAACTTAATGATTCCAAAATGGTATACAATAAAATAACAATAAACATTCGAAAACAACAAATTGTGATTATAAATGTGTAAAATACACCGCTTTGAATTAACTACCTGATAAAAACACGATAAAATTTTTATTTAAAATTTAAATTCATTTCGCATCTTACCAGATTTAAATATTTCCAAAGGCAAACATGAATTTTATCTCCGAGACAAACAGATTTATTCAATAACATTATATTCAGTAGCTGAAACGAGGAGTAGATCCTGTATCCATTGAAATATGCAAGACGCAACATAATTTCTGCCACATACGCTAAGCTTGACGCGTGTCTTGACTCCTGACAAGGTCTTAACTTATTCAGATTACGTATTAAGCGAAATATTCCCCGAAATTCTTGTAAATATAAATGAGTCCCATATGCTCATAACTTGACATTTCGAGTTTAGTAAAAGGTGAATCGCGTTATGTGTAAATGTACTGCTGAATTCGGCACAGAATAAATTTTGAACCAGACATTATATCATAGCGTGACAGTTTTGCAACATGGATTCGTAATTTTGCATTGCATATTTTGTTCTGAGAGATAAAGGCACACTCTGAACAGAATGAAGTTTTTTAATATGAATTATTTTAATATGTTATGCATACATACAAGGGATTATACAGTTATCGATTTTTGAGATTGAACCAAATAGAGTAGCTCAGCTGGTGATTATTTTAATCGTAACTTGATTTTCATGCTTTTGTCCATTCAATTCACTTTCTTTTTATGTCTTCAGTTCAAGGTGACAAGAGACATTAAGTGACAAACCCTAAGATTTTGTTTTTGTAAGATACCCGTGGTCTTGACATTAAAAAAATTATCATTAGTGGGGTCGAATAAAACAAAATAAGAATTCCTTTACCGTTGGTTCATGCATTGCAGGATGTGAAGGTGGTGGTGCAGTTCGAAGTGCGCAGTAGGCTGGTAGTCCTCCTCGGACTCCAGCTACGCTGCCTCTAGGTCCTCTGTTTCCAGGAGGGGGTGAGATAGTAGACACTTGCTGCTGACGATAGTAATCCATCTGCGGTGAGGACGGGTTATAAGGTATCCTGAACTGGATATTTAAAAATAACAATTAGAAATATATCTTAAAATGACATGTAAAACTTTTGTTAAATTTCTTCGTCAAAGTTCATAAATTTACTCTTTCTGAAGTTTTAGTATTCGTTTTGGATCTATGACCAAGACCTACAAATCTTTATTTAAGATATATGAATAGAACTGGCTAATTAGTGCTATAGGTTTAAGGTCTTCAACAAATACGCTAACTGCAAAAAAGGATGGCTTGAATTAGTATGAAACAAATGGCTTTTGTTTCATACTAATTCATTTAAAAGCTATGTCAACGTCTTGAAATTGAAATTAAGTAGTATTCATCACCTACCTGCATCTGATCTGTGTCAGATGGTATGATGTCCGGGTTTCGGTCATCACTCTCACTGTCGTCCTTCTCTCTAAATTTATCTGGAGACGCTGGCTGCGAGGACGGAGGTGGGACCGATCTAGGTTTCCTTTTCGCACACTTATGTCTAACTGCTATCATGAAGAGCACAAACACCACCATTAATACCCCACCTCCGCCAACAGCTGCTGACATCGCCCCAGACATTTGGAATGCTGACCTGGTTGATTCTGTAAACAAATAAATTAAAATATATTTTAAGTAAGTAGAGTTGGAATTCTAGCAAGTGACTTTTAACTGTCTCTGTTCACTTTTTGAATTATTTTTTTGTTTTAGTACAATTGTTGATAGAAACCATACTATATGAAAGCAGACCTAAATCAGTTTGGCTGGCGCTGTTAAAAAAGAAGACAATGTAGATATTTAAGCATTTCTTACCAAGACTTTTGTCATGAACATGGTGTTTCTCCGGCGGTCTCACAGTACTAGCTCTCAGCGGGTAAGGATCTCCTCTTCCTTTAGCGTTGTAGGCTAATACTGCCGCAGCATATGTTTTTCCTGGCTGTAGACCGACTGCCATAAACCGGGGTACAGCACTTGAAACGTTGGCAACTATCTCCTGATAACATGAGAAAAATATTTTGTATACCTTACTATATGATAATATTTATAGATATATTTTAAATATTTGTATATTTGAGGTGAGTTGGTAAAGTTCTTATGTTATGGAAATCAGCAACAACAACAGTAGCACTGTTGGTATACTACAACGTAGGTACAGCCAATAGGATCTCGGTTGTATCAACTGATGACCGGCTAAGAGTAAATTTTGCTTGTAGCAATAAGCCTAACAACCGTGATATAGATCTGTCAAATTTCTTCATTTTGTTTTAAATACCTTAATGCATTATAGTATAATAGTCCTCTGTTAGATAAAAAAAAGAAGTGATGAAACTATTTGAAAAAATATTTATAACTGGTATAAACTTTCACATTATTTTTATCTATAATGAATCCCTATTTCCCTTGGTTACGCCATCACACGTGAACGAGTCGATTGATTTCGCTAATTCTCATTTTATTGTGTTTGTTATTGTCAGTAACAGGTTCATATGAAAGAAACAAATAAGAACATCGTGTGGAAATTTTGAAAATTTAAGAACATTTTAACCACCATATAAAACTATTTATTTTAATGTACCCTTATGACGTTTGTCATAGAATTGCGAATGCGTGCTGCAAATATCGTCAACTAGGATATTAAACAAAAATAACTGTTCGAATTCAATATTCTTATTTAAGACAGGACAACGTCTGTTGGGTCAGCTAGTTAAATAATAAAATAATTTACATAATGACTAAAATTGTATTGTCTTTTGACAGTCCTGCGTCTAAAACTGCAACAATGTATGTAATATTTTTTTATGAAATAAGTAGTATTAAGTGTATATCTACATATAAGATACAATAAAATTCCTACTCCAAATATAATGATAGTAGCAATGACGTTTTGTTATAAGACACGTCATACCCGTAAGTAAATCATTGCGTTTTAAAACGGCGTAAACTTTATTGCATTACATTATATTACAATCACAAAGGGTGCGAAAAAATCAAAAATAGTCATCTCCCTATTTCTAATATTTATATTCTAATATTTCTAATAGGGAGATGACTATTATTGATTTTTGAAGGTATGCTGTATGATTCTTCATAGAGCATACCTCTTGTTAAAACAAGATAAATATACTTGTTTAGCTTTACATGTTAGTTCCAATGTCGTGGAACAAGATGCACGAAAAAATAGCCGCGTTCAATGACGGTTTACTTTGTTCATTAAAATACAAAAAATAAAAAAGAAACGATAACTTTTAAAACTCTTTTTATTGTCAATGTGTAATTTTTGCATTGTTTAAACACGCAGGAAAGCTTTTTTTCTACAACTTTCACAGAAAGTTACGAGTGAAAATGACATTAGCCAAAGTGAAACCAAAGATTAAAAGGCAAAACTCAGGCAATTGCCTTGCTTTCTTCTTGTCGATGTTGTGCGCAGGTAATCCATCTAAGCCTTTTAATACATCATTGGGCAGTTGAGTAAATATGAACGAATAGGAAGAAAGAGAAATCTCACCTGTGTCAAAGTATCTCGGACTTCTAACAAAAATGATTGTGGCATCCCTCCATTGAAACCTTCTGAGCACCGAACACCAAATGATGTTAATGACGCGTTGACTACTGTACAGTTGTGAACTTGATCCGGCCGACCTAATTACATATAAATAAATATATGATACATAAGAGTATATCTTTAATTTGTAGGATAAATTACTGCTACCAAGACTGGGGAAGCCATTCCTTAGTTGCAAGTACCTTTTGTTTGTTCAGGTTGATCATGTAGTAGATAATGCCGATATAAACATTCTAGAGTTTATATTCAGTACAGGAACCTGGTAAATGTCATTAACTAACTTATAAGAAACTCCATACTTTTGAGAGCGTTTTTATGTAGGTTTCGGTTATTCAGAATTGTAACTATTTTGGTTCTGATCAAAGATTAACTAAAACTTTTATTATAACTCAAAATTTCTCGGGCTGTATATCTCCTCTCTCTTACGCCTCTTTTTGTAATTGAAAAGCAATCACACATCATTGAAAAAAATTGAATCTCGAAAGAGACGGTGCACGAAGCTCCGCTCACATTTTTGCTTGGAACTAACTAAGCTAATAGGGTTATAATGTATGCGAAACGATTCCACTCCAAGCGATCACTTCGAAAAACTTTATTACATGATATTTTTCGAACCATTCCCAAGCCCTCTCTATAACATCTAACTTTCTATTCGGTCAACTAACTGACTGATTATTTGTTTATATATATATATATTACACAATAGAAAAAATTACGAGATCACTTTTAAAATAATCTCACTACTGTAAGTATAAAGCGCTAGGTCCATAAGAAATGCATTAAAAAGCTGCTTGAATGTCTCGGGATCAGTTACTTATTAGATCTTACCGGCTGCAATAATATGGTAGACGCATGGCACCCTCTGTTTTCCTATCCTATTGTGTGCCCAGCATAGTAGGGTGCCATAATCCATCTCCGTGTGTGGCGTGTACGTGACCGTCGAGCTGGTTCCCGTACGCGACACGTACGTATCGCTGACCTCGTTGCTGTTCGCTGTATTGTTGAAGGTCCAACGAAACTGCACAAAGAGAAACATTTCAATGTATTATTAAAAACTTTATAATAATATTGTGAAGTTTTTAATAATACATTTTAAGTGTGCTAATATCGAATGCAATACAATATAGAAACTAAAACGTACGCTTTGAGTTCTTTTATATTTATAGCGACAAATCAAACAAAGAAGAAAGTAAAATATCATAAATTACATTCAATAACACCTATACATTTAATACACAAATATGTTGAAAACAGATTGAATGATTGATCATCATTGCGTTCAGTGCATTTGAGATCCGGAAAACCACTGTTCACATTTGCAACGAACCACATTGAATGCACTTCAAATAATTATAATTATGATGAAATCCCTGATTGTATGTATGTTTCTAATAATTAAAATAAAACTCTGACGAGTTAAGCCGTTTACAATATTTAACTGAATGGTAGACATTTCACAGCCAACATAATATGTCTCAAAAATAATTAAATTAATATAATAAGTGCAAAACATACGAATCAGAAGTTACTTTAATTAAATATCAAAAGGATTTTGTATCGTTGAAAAAGAATTTTATCATGTTTTACTCACTTATTGTTTATGCATAAGACACTTATGTTAGCATATATAACTTATGTTAGCAGAGTAATATTTTAATGTTTTTACTTAAGTTTTCTTTGCTCCCCTATTGATGTTTTGAACGGTGTTTTAGATTGCTTTAAATGAAAGGCGTTGGACTTTTCTGTTTTAAAATAGAAACAAGTTTTTATGAGAATATTTATATTATAAAGGATGATGAATGGGATTATGGGTTATGGCCCGTTCTTCCTATTAGATTTCATTTTCATTTGATTCCATTCATAAAGAAAGCCTGTGTCCTAGAGTAGAGACATGAATAGGAAAACTCAATGGAGTCGAGTTATTTAATTACAAACCACCTTCGAGTTCCATCATCAGATCCTAGATATAATCTCGGACTAAAGTTCTTGTCAAGACAGATTAAACGAGCTCAAACAATGGGGTTGCTTCGCTATTATTATAAAGGTTACATTGGTGCCTTCTAGCTGTATTATGAAATTAACTCCATTTCATATTAATACTGCATTGGAATCCCAAAGTGATTAATACAGCAACTTAAAGCAAAACTCGTAATTATCTATTTTAAAATTACAAAAACATTGGAATAAACGGTATTTTCAATTGGTTACATCACTTTTTATACGCCACATACAGCTACCAAGTCTTCATTTCAAATCCTCAGCAATACTCAGTTGAGATTCATATAAACATATATTCATTAGTATTTCAAGAGTAAAATTTCACAAAGAGAATATCCTTATTAATTTTCAAATTTTAATAGCCAGAAATAAGAAGATTGGAAGGCGTGTCTGGAAGGCGACTTATTTCGCCTTAATACACTCTGTTTTTCGTAAGAAACCAAGCTGGTTGGTTATGGTTTGAAGTAGAATAAAATAATATGGCGTGGGCGGAGTCAAATTAATATTATACATTACAAAAAGTAACGTGTTATCATAAAATAAGAGGGAAAAGTACAGCTGACAACAGAAGATGTAATTACAGTTTGAAGTTTCTTTAACAATATTATATTTGATTTGGTTGCCAACTGTTCATTATGCAAAGCAATTAATTGTTGTCATCTTTTCAAATATGAGAAATTCTAACAGAAGTAAGATAAGAATGTAAGGCTACCTTAATTAAAGCATTAATGCACTTCAGTGAATAAAGATAATATATAAACTTGTAAAGTGTTTAAAAACAATTGATATATAGAGTCACTGGTCCACCATTTTGTTTAAACGAGGTGCCTTAGCCATCACTTCAAAGAAAATGAATGGTAGATGGACTGACAGAGAGAAACAATAAGGCTCCATATTGAAATATGTCGAGTTCTCACAACTACATCTACATAGCCTGATGTGGTAGTATCGTAACGTTATCGTTTCAATTTGACTGTCAGCGCTACGCGGTACTTAAAAACTTTTTATCAAGGTTGGTATATAGGTATTATATGAATTTTGCATGCGTGGTTGAAGGAAAATAACTATTTGCCACAAATTCGATGGAAGAGTCTATGAATGAACGTTGCTGTTGATGATGTTGACCATGCATGTGAGGTTGATGATGTTTTACTAATAACCTTATATCGATGTTTGTTTCACAATAGAACGTAAACTTGTATGTGCTATAAATACTAATGTTATTAGGATTGATTACTATTGATAGTAAGGCTTCAGTAATAGAATGTCATGGCATTCTACTACTAAAGATGGTCATTTTACTTCTCGCGGCCTGTCAATACTCACAATAACTTCAGGAGGGTTCGCGTCAACGTGACATGTGATGTGGGCTCGTTCCTGTTTTGCTACACCGTGCACCCTCTGCTGAGAACTTCTACAGGTTGGGGCGTCTGTCATGAATAAACAATAAAAACTTTATTATCAAGAACGTGACCAACACAAATTAAACTAGATTTAATATCACTGAAATATCCAGATTATCTTTAATTCTTCGAACTAGTCGAATTTCAAGCCATATAATTTCAGGCACACAATCTTACGCTGTAGTTTAAACTTAAAAGCATTTAATTTGAAGTCAGTGGTAGCCGTATGAAGTATTATACATATAGAGTACCTTTGTGGCCGAATGGCTCGTACACTGGAATCAAAGTGTCTCCATCTCTGAGTCAATATACTAGTGCTTTATCACTTGATTTGGGATCTGAGCAATGTTGTAGGTATTCTATTTAAAATTCGCTTACTCACACGGCAAACTCAAAAGAGGTGTTTTGTAAAAGAAATTTCTAAAATCGTAAAATTCATGACGAATATAGTTTATTGTACTTATAAACGTGAAAGACAGAGCCGAAAAATTTCTAGGAACGTTCAATGATTATTCAGCGAATACTAAAGATCGCGTGATGTAGAAGGTATCATACCACACTTTTGCTGAGTCAGTACACAAATGAAATACCGTACACCTGTAGCGATAACTTACACAGCACATCTAGCGAAAAAGGTTTGCTTTCACCATCGCCTTCTGCATTGAAACCGACGCATGTGTAATTTCCTGCTGTTCTTCTGCCGACGCCTTGCAAGACAAGGGACTGGTTGCTGATGATGACGCCTTGACCGACGTTGTGTAATAAGGTTTTACTCTATGCAAATAAGTGTATAAATTTAGTTATCGTTCATAGGAAATTTTATAAAATCCACTGCGAGAAATGAATAAATAGAGTTGATTTACACTACTTATATAACGTAAAGTAAATGGTATTACTTTTATAATTGAAATAATTAAAACACATCAAAAATGACATCATCCATCAGTATTTTAAAAATTTTGGAAAAATATGCGATTTATTGATATAATCACAATTAATGTTTTTGAAGAAATAATTACTTACATTATGCCTCCATTCCACTTTGTAGACGTAAGGGTGTGCCTTTATGATGCAGTCGAAATATACATCAGACCCTTCTCTGATATTGGTTGGATCTAAGTTGGTTCCTAACCGCACCGTAGTTTCAGGTACATCTAAATACAAGAATGAAAAAATATATTCACCGTTAATGTTATTTAGAAATTTATTACTACCATATCCGTGCCAGTGAATGACCACTTTGTATGCTATAAACAAATCTATAAGTATCTAGATGGATTAATTCTTGGTTGTTCTTAAAATTATAAGATAAACTGTAACTTATTCGCAATGCAACGGTGAAAGAAATATTGAAAAACAAAGAATGATTTACTTAGACATTACGGAGTGCCAGCAGCAGACCGCAAAGACAAGATCCAGTGTATGCGTAGCCTAAGGTTAACAAGCCATGGCTATACGCACACTGGTAATTTTTTGTCGCTAGTGGCGTAGCATGTACAGCTTCATATAATAGGCCTAGATCGCATTAAATATATTAGTCTATTATAAATATCATACACTGAATATCTAATGTCCAGTCCTCTTCCAGAGGTGCTATTGAAGGCATTTGGGGGTTTGAAGCTCTGCAAGCGAGCTTCGCTCTGGCGTCCGATTTCGTAAATTGTAGTGACACAGTCGAAGTCGTAGTATTCCCATCCGTTGATAACTGATAAAAAAGGCTTTATTAATAACATGATTTTATTTATAATTGCTAAAGTTCAATGGAATTAAATCACAATGGAAACGGCCCCAAGAATTTTCTCACAAATCACAAAAGTTATTTATATATCGTTTAATCTAAAAAGACAAGGTTACATGAGAAAGATTATAAAAAATGAACATCAAAAACTTTTAAGACAAAATATTGCATGTAACAATAGTTCGTGCCTCGTGCTAAACAAACAGTGCGTAATTATTTCCTAAAAAAATTTAACTTAAAAGGACCCGTAAATTGTGACCGGTGTATGCAATTTAAAAATTGGTTGGGGTTAATAACCCTGGTTAATTTAACAGTTAAAAAATTAAATTCTAGTCATTATTCGAAGAAACGAGTGACATGAGGTTTATTAATAATCTATACCTATAACTTTGTATAATTATATTACCGATAGAAGTGTTGTTTTGAATGACACCATTTCTCTTTATTGCAATAGCACATATCAATTTAAGTCCAAGTCATCGCTTACAAAAAGAACATAATAAAAACCATTTCTTCTAGTATTAACATCATTAGCAGTCTATTTTTATCAAAACGTATTGTAAACGCAACCGTCGGCGGCTAAAAGATACAAAAAGTAAATTGAATTAAGATTGACAAATGAACCTTTTCGCTACAGAAACAACTCAAAAGACATTAGGTAGATACCAAAAAATAGGCTAGTCATTAGAAAGAAATCAGACTTCCCCAATTGTAACTACTTTACTTTTTTCCTTGAAGACAATTAACCCCATATGTTTCTCTTTGTTGCTGTCTCTCTTTATTTAAGAGTCGAATAAGCTGGGCATTATAATTATCCTCACTCTTTTTTTTTTATCTTAATTTATTACTGTAATCGACTTATTAGTCGTTTCAATTTGACACGAATATAAAAATCGAGCAGTTTATATTCATGAATGTTTCGGATATACCACTGGAACTGAGGAGCCTATAGACCTCCTGATCACTTGACTGAGAGTCTAGAGACCAGGTTACTAGTTATTATATTAAATTATTATAATCTTAGGTATTAAACACATAAAATTATTATAGAACAGCGTTCATATACGATATATTTTTAATAAAATCACAAAGAATATTTTTTAACTTAATTTTATAAAAGAAATGATTTGATAAATTTCGCATTCACAATGCTATATTGAAAAAATTCTCAATAAAAAATGCTTAATAAACCTCATTTATCCTGATTGGATTAACAAAATTAAATTTTTATCATCTAAATAGTATTTCAGACGATAGGATAACCAACAATGAACAATGCATTGTTCATTGTCCGTACTATAATAATAATATTCATCATCATCAGCAGCCTTTTTACGTTCTCACTGCAGGGGCTCAAGCGTTCCTTATATCCATAAGGAACGCTTGAGGTTAAGGAGGATGAGCCATGACTCTCCATGGTGGCCCAATGCGGATAAGAGGGTATTAGCGACTTCAAATGCAGCCGGGACCAACGGCATAATGTACATTAAGTAGCTCGAGATAATACTTTTTGGTCGGTCATGTGTAGTGGGTAGGGCGGCGCTTATCAGCTACACCACCGAGTTATAAAAATAATATTATTTTTTTTATTTTACAGTAGTTTATTTATAGTAGATTTTAATGAACTAGTTATTCTAGTTTATAAAGCTTCATAAACAACCTGAGTTTAGTAGACACAGTATATTCTTGATTGCTATATATGTGTCCGTCACTAGATTTGTGTTAGTAATAATAAGGTATTGTAACAAAGACAAGCTATACTTTAAATATGATTATTGAAAACTGCCTGTGTGATTATTATCTTAGAAACATTCATTTTCCAAATATACTTATGGATATTTGAGCTATTATTTTCAACTTTACCATGGCCTCATAATATCCTCCATATATCCTTATAAGCGTCTTTAACAAGCAAAATAAATAATGCTGAGTTTGCGTGCTAAGAAACGCGGTCGATGGTATAAAAATTCCATAGCACAAGGTCGTCGTTTTTTCCAATAGATATTTCGTTTAGTTTATTAGCAGCTTAATGCCCTGATATATTACGGTGCCCCGGCTGTGGATACCATTGACTCAATTGGGGAATATATTGCAGTAAGCCCACTTACGGCTGAGTAAAAGGAAGCACGTGATAAAAAAATACTCTTGAAAACTATATTTTTTTCGTTACAATGTTAAGATTTCGTGGACTTGTTCTGTGTTTGTTTTCTATTTTCAAATAAAAACGTTTGAATAGAACGTTGTTTTCACTTTGCAAACAAGTGATAACATTAATTTCGACAATAATTAAAATGAAACAAGATTTAGACCTTACATTGTTCAGCTAGATAACCCCTTTTCATCCCGTGGGTGTCGTAAGAGGCGACTAAGGGAAATTTAACCCAAGAAGATGGGCAGCAGCGTCTTCTTGTGCGGGCCACAGAACCGGACCATACTGCGATCGCCAACCCGCTTGCCCAGCGTGGCGATTATGGGCATATCCCCCAAATGCGAAAGCACAAAAGGCCACGGCCCCTAGTTCCCGGCGGCCTCGCTATTCCTGGTCATGGTGGCGACCATGGTAACGGCAAGGCAGGGGGTGCTAAGAATCTCCGGGCTACGGGAGGCCACCACAACCGACTGACCCTGGCGACGTACAACGGACGCACGCTACGGCTTGACTCGCATCTGGCTCAACTTGAGGTGGAGCTTGGAAAGATTAGGTGGCACATATTGGGATTGTGTGAAGTCCGAAGAGAGGGGGAGGATACCATAACCCTCGAATCAGGCCACCTAATGTACTTTCGCGAGGGAGACCAACAATCCCAAGGTGGCGTTGGGTTTCTTGTCAATAAGTCCCTTTCTGACAACGTTGTAGAAATTTCCAGTGTGTCGAACAGGGTAGCGTACCTGATTGTAAAGCTCACTGAGAGGTATAGCCTCAAGGTTGTTCAAGTGTACGCACCGACCTCGACACACTCGGACGATGAAGTGGAGAATATGTACGATGATATATCGAGGGCACTCCACTTCACTACTAAGACCCACTACAGCGTTGTTATGGGGGACTTTAACGCTAAAGTGGGAGTACAAAATTGCGGCGAATCGGTAGTAGGATCCCATGGATTTGGAAGCAGGAATAATAGGGGGCAAATGCTCGTTAACTTCCTCGAACGGGAGGGGCTCTTCCTTATGAACTCGTTCTTTAGGAAACAGCCCCAAAGGAAGTGGACGTGGCAAAGCCCCGACAATGTGACAAAAAATGAGATCGACTTCATTATAGCGGACAAAAAACACGTATTCAGAGATGTCTCCGTGATCAATAGGTTTAATACCGGCAGCGATCACCGACTTGTCCGAGGCTCTCTGAATATCGACTTCAAAGCTGAACGTGTCCGCTTGATGAAGGCCAGGCTCCGACCTACTCCACTCCAAACCATGATGGAATCTGAAACGTTCAAGTCAAATCTTGAGAACCGATTCGCTGCCATGGAACCCACAATTGACGTTGACGAGAACCTTGAAAATGTGGTTCGAATACTCAGGGAAGAAGGTACGAAATTTTGTAACATGCAGCGTAAGGGCGGGAAGTCTAAGCTCTCGGATAGAACTTTGGGGCTTATGAAGGAACGACGTGAAAACCCACCTGTCACTTCGTCAGGAAAACGTGCTCAAAACCAGGAGATCAGCAAACGCGTACGATATGACCTCCGGTGCTCCAACACTCACGCTATAGAAAGAGCGATCGAGCAAAACAGGGGGTCAAAAGTATTCGTACAATCTCTTGGAAGAAGCCACTTGACGAAGTTGACCACAGCAAGCGGGGAAGTCGTTGCTTCGAAGCCAGCGGTCCTCTCAGAGGTGGAAAATTTCTATGCCCGGTTATACGCTTCGCATGCACCTCGACCTGATCCCGGAAATGAGGATTCTAGAGCCACATTAACACGCCACTACACCGAAGATCTGCCAGAAGTCAGCATTGGCGAAATCGAGATCGCTCTGAGACAGCTTAAAAATGGAAAAGCCCCTGGAGAGGATGGCATTACAACCGAATTATTAAAAGCAGGAGGTAAACCAGTACTGAAGGAGCTCCAAAAGCTTTTTAATGCAGTCCTCTTCGAAGGGAGAACTCCGCAGGCGTGGAGTAGGAGTGTAGTCGTCCTGTTCTTCAAAAAGGGAGACAAAACCCTGCTGAAGAACTATCGACCCATTTCCCTTCTAAGCCACGTCTATAAGCTGTTTTCTAGAGTAGTCACGAACCGTCTTGCGCAAAGACTTGACGAATTCCAACCACCGGAGCAGGCTGGGTTTCGGAGTGGATACGGCACCATAGACCACATCCACACAGTGCGGCAGATTATACAGAAGACTGAAGAGTATAATCAGCCCCTGTGTCTAGCATTTGTGGACTATGAGAAGGCCTTTGACTCGATTGAGATCTGGTCCGTTCTGGAGTCCCTGCAGCGATGCCAAGTCGATTGGCGATACATCCAAGTGATAAGATGTATTTATGAGGCCGCCACCATGACCGTCCAAGTACAGAATCAGCAGACAAGTCCTATACCGTTGCATCGAGGAGTGAGACAAGGAGACGTTATGTCTCCGAAATTGTTTACTAATGCAATGGAGGATATGTTTAAGACGCTGAACTGGAAAGGACGTGGCATCAACATCAATGGCGAGTACATCTCTCACTTGAGATTTGCTGACGACATCGTCATCATGGCAGAAAATCTGCAGGACCTACAACAGATGCTGAATGACCTGGCTGACTCTTCTATGCGCATCGGCCTACGGATGAACTTGGATAAAACCAAGGTCATGTTCAACGAACACGTACTACCGGAACCGATTGCAGTATGCGGTGCCGTTCTCGAAATTGTTCCAAA